GTCCTCAATCGCCATCACTGTCGAGACCACTGCCGGGAGGCAGAAAGAGGAAATCCCTACACCATAACGGGTACCGAGAATTTCGTTCAAATTTTAGACGGAACGACACATCGTATTCATGGTATGGTCAGCGATATCTTGCTACAACGCAAGACCTTTGCTGACTTTGGGCACCAAGAACGCGCCGAGGTCTCAGCTACAACTCGTAAGTCAGACCAAGACCAAAAAGAAAAGAATGCACTTTAAGGATGAAGTTCCTGAAGGAACAACTACTGCTGAGGCAACTGAGGCAGCCACCGAGGACTCGGAAATGCAGGTGCAACGACCAAGTGCTGAGGTTCGGTACGAACCAACAGCCGATGATATTGACCTGGTTGCAGTCCAAGAAGAGCGAAGGCGCCGTATCGCCCAAGCCCAGGATGAGGAGCTGAGGTGGTCGAATCTGAAAGCTGTCCTGAGAGGTGAAACCACCGTGATGACTTACAAGGAAGATCGGGAAGCCTGCAAGTGGGCCGACAATTTTGTGCTATCAAGTGACAATGTCCTGTATTACACGGATGTGAGCAGAAGAAAGGTCGATGAAAACTTGTCCGAGATGTCGTTGATACTCGTGGTGCCAACCACAATGATCCAAGATGTGCTATATAACTGTCATGACTCCATTGAAGGAGGACACCAAGGTGTCGTCCGCCCCTACCAGAAAGTAAAACACTACTACTACTGGATCGGTGTCTATGCAGATGTGGAGAAACATATGAAGTCATGCCTCGACTGCAGCTCAAGAAAGAGCTTGCCGTAGCTCAAAGGCTACTCACCTGGTAATGTGCTCGCAGAGCGACCATTCCAGGTGGTGTCAATGGACCTTTGCCGAGATCTCGTCGGGGGAATACCGCTATGTTGTTATGGCACTGATCCGTTACCGGGTTCGAGTTCGCTAAAGCAACGTCGGACACCGATGCACTGACTGTGGCCAAGGTGTTCGAAGAATGCATCTATAGACGATTTGGTGCTCCGTCTCTTATTCGTCACGACCGCGACCTGCGCTTCATGAACGAGGTCTTCCAAGCTTTCGCTGAACTAATACAAGCGCGGTCAAGGTCGACGCTGAGCTATCGCCCACCAGCGAATGGACAGCAAGAGCGGTCGGTCAAGACCGTGATGCAGTCTATCAAAGTCTATGTGGAAGACCCTCTACAGCAAGACTGGGATGAGATCGCCGAGCGACTAGTCTTTGCGATCAACAACTTCCACGATATGACCAGGAAAGAGACACCATTATACTTGGTACATGGATGGGATGCCCATACGACACTACGAGCAATGACGACCTCTCTGAAGCGAGGTGTTGGTAAGCAGACTGAGGCACTAGCCTGGCGACGAGAGATTAACCGCCAGCAGCAGATTGCTCTCGAGATGGCAAAAGAATACCAAGCTGTGGAGAAGGCCCGACGCGCTAGAATTCATAACGAAAACCTCAGCTGTAAGGAGCAAGTCGCAATACCAAAGAGTGTGAACGACGACTGGTCCGACGACGACTCAGAACTGAAGTCTCTATTTCGACCTGGAAGCCGAGTTTGGCTGTATATGGAGCGAGTGAAGCCAGGACTAGTTAAAAAGCTAGCTCACCGATGGCATGGTCCCTTCAGAATGAAGCGGAAGGTCGGGGAAATTCGCGTACGCGCTCGAGTTACCAGATAAAAGTGGGTATCGGTTCTACCCTGCTGTGCACGTCTCTCGACTGAAAGCTGTGAATGAGTTTTGCGATCGGCCGAAGACGCGACTAGCTTGAGATATCACAGAGGATGCGAGACTTGACTTCGACGAAGAGCTGTTGCCTGAAGACAGCTGGGAAGCAGCTGCAGTTGACGGTAAATTCGAGGTTGAAGCGATTCTTGACGACAGAACACCAATTTCAGCCAGCACTGCCCGACTACTGCGAGAATTTGAGGTGAAATGGGTTGGCTACGAGTCAACTACCTAAGCGCCAGCCTCTAACCTATCATGTGGAGGTCTTCTGTATGACTGCTTGCGGAACAAGTAGATCGAGCAACGTCTACAGATTGTCCAAGTCGCTGACGAGGACTAAAAGTCAAAATTATCATGAAGAATGACCTGGGTGTTAGGCAAAGTAGCCCACAATGCCAGACGAAAATTGTTACTGCTGCTACATGAATGCATGAATTGGATATGGAATTTCTCGAAATGCGATTGAAATTGAAGTGATTAAGAAAGAATTGAATGATTAACGATTCTGCAAAACTGGGGAACGACGAACAGATAACTTTGACCTTGGTGGTGACACCAGACTTTGGCGGCGGAGATGGCTCCGCAAAGAGAAGGATCAAGGCAGCATCGGCCTTCTCATCACGGGTTCAGCCGAAGCATCGTCAGCCGAGTTTTGGTCGAAGTCCATAGTGGCGACGGAATTAGCGTCAAAAGGACTTGTAGATCCAGGAAGACTTGCGCGTGAGGGATCGTCCTCTCCAACTTCACCTTCCTCCATCTACTCATCCTCATCGGCTTCATGAAAGGTGCGATCCCACGAGGGGTCAATATCCTCCGGCGTCAAAGACGAGCCAGGAACGATGCGTGGGGTGAGAACTTCGAGGCAGGAAGGAAGAGCGGCACGTGAGCATTGCCCGGAACGTACACCGTGTTGTAAGAGTGCTGTTCCGAGCAGGTCAGCCAGTCGACACGGCACGGCTCTGATTCGTCTACCAGCGCAACCTCTGCACACCAATCTGCCGACCCAGGATCTCACATGAGATTATCCATGGTTGAGATGGGGAGTGTCGGATCCAGCAGGGCCACAATCAGCAGTAGAGAATGGGGATCAATACACCACGGCCACATGCGACCAGGAAGATATGTCCGCAAGTTGTCAGCTCGGTCTGCGCGCTCCTTGTTGTACTCGAACCAAACTTTCTTCAAGTGTTCGAGTACCAACTTGAACCGAAGACGCTCCTCGGTATCCGTAATTTTCCTAAGTCGAGCAATCATACGGGAAAAGAAGCGCTTGACAGCTTCTGGAGAAACCCAGTATTTGCGTTCATAGATTGCAAAACTCTCCACGGCCGACTTCTGGTCGCCGTAGCCGCGAAGCCGGCGCCAGACTCCACAAAGCCGCTCTGGGTAGTCGGCTCGCTGGGTGATATGAGAATTCAGCTGGAAGTCGGTAGTGTCGAAAAGACAAGCGTGCTCCGGCCACTTGGAGCATTGCTTCTTCCATGGGTGGTCATCGGTCATGAACTTACTGAATTTCTCGATGGCAATCGTAGTACACTTGATGTCCGCGTCAGAAGGCACGGGAGAAGGCAAGAACGATTGCTCGAGCTTGACCCAGTACTTCTGCGCGCTGACAGTAGTGAACTCAGGAGCCACGTACGGCGTCAGTAAGTCGGACGCACGTTGAGTAAGCTTTACCAACTCACGGTACTTCGAGATCCAGTCCGGCAAGTCAGAATCCAGGAAGAACCGCCGACGACACCTTGTAATTTCACTTTCTTGGATGAGTGAGATTTCTTCGGAGACGACTTGGACTTCTTCTTGGAGGCCGTCGACTTCTTGGCCTTAGCGGATGACTTCTTCTTCGCAGCCGACTTGGGTGATACCTTCTTCTTGCCCTTAGGCGACGACTTGACGTCAGCCTTGTTGACTGTAAGAGACTTGACCTTGGACTTGGGAGAAGTCTTCTCGGTACGAGAACTCTTGGTGGGCTGATCTCTAGAAGCTGGGGCATAGAGATAATCGTCGAGAAAATCCTCAAGACACTGGGTCTCCGGACGGAGCTCGGACAACTCGTTGTCTTCTTCCTCGAGAGTCTCAGGGCCTTCCGGAGCCGAGGAATCAGAGTCTGAACTGGACTCAGGATCAGACTCAGATGAAACCGAAATGACGGATTCATCTGACGACGAGTACCCAAGTGTGGTCTTAGTAGCAGCCTTCTTGGAGCGAGACTTCTTGGCTTTGGAGGACGGGGTCTTGACCGACTTGCCAGTCGAAGACTACGAAGTAAGGGACTTGATGTCCGACCGAGAACCTCCAGCCAAGCGAAAGGATGATCAGAACTCAGAACGCATTGCCGCCTTGCGCGCGTTGGGGTGAGTCGAGGACTCGACATCACCTCCGCATAAGACACTGCCATCCACCTTCTTGGGAGCCAAACCAGTCTTGCCGCGAGTCGCTGCAGGAGCACTTGGCTTGCTCGACGATGACTTAGGTGAAGGCCGGGTTATCTTCGCAGGAGCTGAAGGAGTGGTAGGAGGAGAAGCCTTCTGCGTTTTCGGCAGTGGTTGGGAGGTCGTCGCCGAAGAGGGAGTTGCAGAACACTCACGTCCCTCTCCGGGAGCGTCCTCACCAGAGTCACCACCACCGAAATCCACATCCTCTTCATCACTAGCGGTGCGCTGTCGCTTGCCCTTGTATTTGCCTTTCTTCCCGCTGGAACTTGGTGGAGCAGGAGGCGTCGAGACAGGCGGTGAGTGCAGCCGATGACTTGGATTCTCCAGCGGGCTTGGATGAGGACGGCGCAGAGCTTAAAGCAGGTTCAGCGTCAGTGACTACGACTGGGGCCCAGTCCGCGTGATTGAGAGTGAACGCGAAGAGGCCGGCGACGACGTAGGCGCCATCGATGACTGCGTGGCACTAGAAGCTGGGCTGGAAGTCGGAGTGGTGCTCGGATCTTGAACAGCAGGAGGAGCAGATGGTCTGCGCACAGAGACCGTGAGCGGAGGAGGAGCGGGCAGACCCGCCGCTGCAGCTGCTTCCTCAGCCTTGCGCTGCTTTCCAGCACGAAGATCCGCGAAACGAATCTTCGCTCGAGTGATGTCGTCGGCGAAGGATCCCTGTCTCGGCCGTCCGACAAGCCAAGTTTATAGACCGCCTGCAGCGTGTGGCGAGTCTGAGGGTCGGGACCCATGGTTTCTCAGTCAGTCTTGTCGAGTTCAAGGCATGCATTAAAAGTAAACAACCAACGATCAGTCAGCAAAGATACATATGAACACCTGGGAAACTGGAATTCACCTTCAATCAAGAGGACCAGAGCTTCGGGGTCCATACCTTCGAGCCGTTGGCGCGAACCGAGAGCCGAGTTGGCTTTCTCGAGGCGCTTAACCCGACGCATCAGATCACGGTTGCGCTCGCGAAGCTTGAGAGAGAGCGTCGACTCGCTTATCAGTGAGCGACAGCAACTTGTGTAGGTTGTCGTGAGATTTCGTGAAGGCTTGGATCCCAACCGGATACTCGGAGCGAACGGTATTCACCTCCTTGGGAAGGATCTCGTTGTTGCGGTGCGCCAACTGCAGCCGGTTCTCGAGGCGGTCGTACAGCTCTTGATGACCCTTGATGACAGCGTTCATCTCGCTGATCTGGGAGTTCAAGGGCACCTCGCGCGACCTGACGAACTTGATCACCTTATGAGCAGCATCGTGATCAGCCGAGAACTGCTTGGCCCAGGTTTCAGCATTGGCGCGAACACACTGCGCTGAGAAGAGCTAGTTCTCCATAGTAGCAGGAGCAGCCTCTACCGACTTGAGTAACGCTTGAGTTGCAACTAGCTCTCGTCCAACCTCAGTCAAGGCATCGGCAGGAATAGGCTCGCTGCACATAAAGACATCTTCGAACGACCGCGCGGCATCCAGTCGTCACTTGAACGTCGTGCGTTCACTGACGTTTGGTCTCCAGTGGAGCGTGGCGTAGAATCGAACCATCTCGGGAACCCGACCATCCATCGCCAGGCAGACGCTCTCCAGCGTCTACTGCGACGACGTGTTCAGCAGCTCGCAAATTCGCTCTTCGCTT